ACGTTAGAATTATCTTGTTTTATCTCCGCTTTTTGAAAAAATTGAGTTAACGTTTTGAGTTAAGTCATCGATAATTCGATGACTTAACGCCAAACTAGCCTATACAACGAGCATGTTGAAATGAGATAATTAGACGCAGAGTTTAAAAGTTAAATCATTTTTTAACATAAACTATTTTTTTTTAAATTCGTTGTATAGGCAGGTTGGCTCTCTCTTTATATATATACATATATATATATATATATATATATATATATATATATATATATATATATATCATGGCGATACTTATTACAGGCCTTCCCGTCGCGAATCCGTATTTTTGACTGGGGGCGGACAATCTTACGGAAAAATATAAAAAATGGCTAGAAAAGTTTGCGAACTAATCCATTATTTTTAGTTAGTTTACTAAATTTTAAAAAGTAATGTATTAATGCAAAAAATGTCTATTGCAGTGTTTATTAAGAATCTTCAAATTTAAAATAAAAAAAAACTTTTTGAAAAAAAGAATAAAATACAATATTTTTCAGAATAATGAGTAATTATTTAAAATCTAAATCACAAAAAAATGAACCAACTATAAAATGCAAAAAAACAAAAAGGAAAAAAACATAATATACATCAATTAAAAAGAAAAAAATATCAAAATATACATCAATAATGTTATAAAAAAATGTACATAATAATTTTTTAATGTTATACAGATAACTTTAAAACTTTCAATGCAGGTTCTTTATTGGACTTGGGTGAAAAAAGCAAACAATAATTTTTAAGAAATATGTTTGATAATATTGTACCATGTTTCTTTAACATATTAAAGTTATAAATATCAGATATCATCATGAAAGTATTACACAATGACTTTCTACACATTTTGTTTTTCTCAATTTCAAAAAAAATGAAACAAAAAAATACCCACTGCACACAGCAATCGAGAGGTATATTCAATCCACCGCGGTCTATAGTTTTTGTATAGTCTCCATATAACTGAAAATAAAATGCAGTATCATTAAACAAATCATTTTCACTAACATCATCTTTTCTTGTAGCATAACCTGCAATATAAAACAAAGCCATTTTTGTACTCAATGACAAAGATGATTCTAGTTCAGGTAATTGATTAATGATGTCACAAGATTCTTCACTTATAAAATAGCCACATTTTTGACAAGAATGCTCGATATCAATAGCATAATCTGTAACATCCACTTTTAATTGCAATAACAGTTTAGCTTTTTCAATGTTTAACTTTTCAACAACATTTTGAACTGTTATAAAGAATGTTCCACCTGAACCTTGCCTAAACTTACTGAATGCTTTTTCAATGTAATCTGTTGAAAACTCTCCTAACATAACATAATCAAAATTGTTTTTTAGCAAATATTTACACATCTCGACAACTCCATAACATGTATGCCAAATTGAAGTACCTGTATCTTTAGTTAAAGATTTCATTCTATGACCTTGTTCACCACTCATTTTAAATGCCATATCTCCAAAATCAAGTAAGTACTGCAAATTTATGTCTAATTCTTCAGAAATAACTCTCTTACGAGAATCTGAAAATTTCATATCACCATAAATTTCTTTTACACTTACAATTTTCCAAAATTTAGTAACTTTTTCTCAAAAACAAATAGTTTCATTCATATTGCAAGGGTGGATAACTTTTGAATAAGTTTTGAGAGCAGCTATAGTTTCGTCGCAAAATACTCTTAAACAATGTGATACTTTTTGTCTTTCAATGGGTTTTGGATGTATAGCTATAAAATTTAGTCTTGATAACTTAATTAACTGATCTTTTTCAAAATCTAAGATACATTTAAGGTCACTCCAC